CTTTGGGCAACTTTCTTTTTTAGTTCATTTACCTATTTGTTTAACCTATTTTATCAAAGTTTTGCTATGGGACTCAAGAATTCCAAGAGCATCATTAGGTTACAAACTAATTAGAAACTAGAGACAGTAATGGGCTGAGTATGGAGGGTGCATGGAATATCCATCCAGGATACCAGTCCTTGTGTTAATTAGCTCAAACTGGAAGGATCTGACAGTGGCACCAGTCCTCCAAATGGCAGGGCAGGAGGCTCTTGCTCCAGTAGCAAATACCATGCTGCTGCCTGCAGGGCCAGCTGGTGTGAGTCTTAGGGCCAGTCTCTGGGGATGTGCAGCTGATGTGCAGTGGCTTACAGGCCACTGCAGCAAGGCCTCTGTCTGTGGAAGAGGGAAGCCCGCTGGCCAAATTCAGCTTTCAGGGGCTCAGCCAAGAGGAAAGCTTTAGGGTCAGATATGGCTAGAGTTGAGTCCTTGATCCTTCTCTTACCAGCTGTGGAAACTAGTTAACCTCTCCAATTCCTCATTAGACCCAACAGTTGTTATGTGCTTAGTATATGCCAGGCACTGTCTTAAGTGCTCTGCATGATTAACTGTGTCACCCACACACAGATCCATGAGGCATAATGTCCCCAGGATCACAGAGCTGGCAAGCAGTGCAGTTGGGATTCCTGGATGTCTGCTTCCAACGCCTGAACCCTTAATCTCTGCGTGATAACACCTCATCTAAGAGCTGATCCTGCACTTTCACAACAAGATTCTGAGGGCCCACTGAGACAGTCCACTACAGCTTTAATGTGTGATCAATTTAATCTGCTACTGTTCCCAATCTTCTCCCCTACTAAATGCACGTGTTAAGGCCGCAAGCAGGGGCATTCTCTACCACTGAGTCCTTTTCTTCAAGGTCCTTCTCTTGTCTGAGTTTCAGCTGTACAAAGACTTTCTGAAAGAGAAATTCTGGAGGTGCCATCCTTTCTTCCCCAGCTCGCAGAGGAGGGACCTAGTCGCCTCACAAGGAGCGAGGGGGCCAAACACAGATGAAAGGCAGAGGTGGCAGCATCCCGTGTCTAAACACAGACAGGTAAGGTGCAGGTGAGTGCCCACTCCCACACAGCTGGTCCTTCTTCAGCCTTCCCCTGCACCTCCAGCTGCACCTACCCACAGGTTGCAAGCAGGCTTTCTGCCTGGATGCTGCTTCAATGCTGCCTGGCTTCAAGGCGGGGAAGAATGTTCTTTCCTCCATCTACTCCATAGCAAGGGTTTGCTATGGACCCGCTCTGCTGCCTCGCCACAAATTTTACCTGCCTCTCCTGGGCCCCCACTCTCACCTGGGATTTCAGAAACATGTACAGTTGCTGACGTTCATGCTTACAGTGGCATCTCATTTGCTGGACAGCCCTGAAGGAGGCTGTGTTAGGTACATGAAGCAGATCCTAATGAATGGAGAACTACTTCCTCAAAGTACACTCAGAGATGACAAATTTGAGCCACAGGATTAGAAACAATAAAAATTGGTGGAAACTAGAATTCTGTGGCTGAGTAAAATAGATGATATTCTTCTGCCCTCTGCTGGTAACCAGCAGCACTGACCCTGAGCACATCCAGGAAGGAGCAAAGACTGACTCACAAGGCATCCCACCCTCCCCAGAAACAGCTCCAGAAGTCAGCTGCCCACTTAGGAGTGGAGGAGGCTGCCAGCAGCTAGATGCCGGAAGACAGGAAACATAGCCATCTGTCTACAGGCAGGGAGGCCCCGAACTGCCACTGAGCCAGGAACTATGGGTGAGGTCACTCCAGGGCCCAGGGACGCTGAAGGGAATAGGATGAGAACAGCATTCTAGGCTGAAGGAACCAGGTCAGCAACCCAAGGGGGCTGGGAGTAGACTCATCTACCACTGCTCATTCTTGGCACTGAGCAAAGGTGCTATTTCATTCTCAGGAGGGAGGTTAGTGAGCGGAAATCCCTGCATGCTGGCTCCTGGACCTGCGCTCTGTACAGATCTACCCCTCAGACTGGCCACTCCCTTTCCTTTCTGGGCCTCAGTTTCCTCACTGGAAAAATGAAAGAGTTGGAAGAGAATGATGTCTGAGGTTCTCTCTGGTTCAGAGATCCTGGTCAGCAACAGAAGTGGTTCAAGGAGTCAACACTGATCTGCTGAGGGAAAATCCACAGCCCAGCCACTGCCCTTCTCCTGGTTAGCTCCCCCACTCCACTGGGAGCTGCCCTCTTCATCCCTCTTGGTATCCCTGTCCTGTGCTATGTCTGCTGCAGCGGTGAAGCTGAGTTTTTCATCCACATCAGCAACAAGGCAGCTGACTCCCTCCTCCAGCATGCCCTGCTCACTAGGAGTGGGGCTCAAAGGGCCAGCCAGGTGCTGGAAAACAGTGCCATCCAATCGCCTCCCAGACAGATGCACCACTCTACAAGAATAAATAAAGAGGGCTGCATCTGATTTTATTTTCCACTTGGAAATTTGTAACATCATTAGCTACAAGTAAATATATCAGTGGGATTAATGGAGTGAATCACAAAGGGACTTGATTGGATTTAAAGCCACATTATTTCTTTGGGGCGAATTAGTAAATTTAGCACTGTCGACAGATGATGGATTAGGAACCCGGGGACTGAGTGTTCTTATTGATCCTGAGACTTGATCAGCATGAGAAGAAGCTGGAATGGCTTCCCACCCTCTGTTTTAAGAAAGGAAACATGGCTTTGCTATTTGCTGGACTATGAAGAAACGTAGTATTTTCTTTTGGGTGTGCAACAAAAGCATTGTGACCACTCGTGGCAGGCAGCATCTCAGATGGCCCCCAAAGATCCTTGGCCCCTGGTACATATTCAAGCCCTTGTGTAAACTGCAGTAGTTCTGTATGCTTGTAACCCCAGAACTCTTCGAGGCTGAGGCAGGAAGATCAAAAGTTCAAGCCCTGCCTGGGCAACTTAGTGATTTAGGGAGACCTTGTCTCAAAATAAAGAGGGGGGCGGCTGGGGATGAAGGTCAGCGCAAAAGCCCCAGAGTTCGATACCCGATACCACACACACACACAAAATCCTTGTGTAATAATCCTTCTCCTTGACAGGGGACCTCAACAAGGGACTGACTTTTTAGCAAACTGCATGCAGAAGACAGAGTTAGAGGTCTCTACTGAGAGGAAGTTACAGAAAGACTAAGAATAGCTCCTGTCTCAGGTCCCCTCTCCCGAGTTATTTGCTCCAAGAAAGTCCAGCTGAGATAGCCCCACACAGGACGGGAGTGGACCTTCCAAGTCCTGCCAACACCACTGCCATGGGCTTCCAAGTGGATCCTGTCCCAGTTGGCCCTTCAGATGACTGCCAACCAGGCTGGCAGCTTGACTGTGGCCTCATAAAAGCCCTGAGCCAGAACACTAAGAAGCTCCTGTATTCCAGATCCACAGAGCAAGCTGTGAGATGATAAATGTCTGCTGTTTTAACTCACTAAGCTTGGGGTCACTTGTTACGTAGCAAAAGAAAAGTGATACACCACGTGATTTGCTTTGACAAGGCAGCATGAGTAAAAACAATGTGTGTCATTTCTGGGCACAAGTTTCAAGGGTGAGTGTGCAACTTGTCACAGATCTGCTTGCTGGCATGGCACCTGTGCAAACTGAGGTCGAGATGGAACTTCCATGAGCCGGGCCACGCCCAGTCCCCACCCCACCAATGTGTGTCAGAGAGGTAGCGTCACCAAGAAGTAAACCTTGGTTGTTTAAAATCACTCAGAGGGCTGGGGATTTAGCTCAGTGGTTTCGCCACCGGCTGCGCAAGTGCAAGGACCCAAGTTCGATCCCTGGTTCCAAAAGAAAAAAAAAATCACTCAGATTTGGGGATGTTTTTCAACCACAGCATAACCTTTTCACCACAGCATAGCCTGGCTGACTAGCACACTGCTCAATCCCAGAATCATGGACCATGGACCCCTCAGCAATCTGGGAATATATTTGCTCTTCCTGCTAAGAACACCCAGGTTCTATTTAAGGTCATTTTGAATGGGATAGAAAGACCATGGTCTATAGAGAGGGTTTTCAAGTGATTTGTCTCACGGATCCCAATTGCACATTTATACTTCACATTTTTAGGACACACGCTCCAACTGTTGGTTTGAAAAGTAGGGTTTTCCTATATGTCCATGGGCCAACTTTCCCCATCCATCTCCTCACTTCATTCTTAAAAAGACCCCTGAGGCTGATATGATTTTTGTTACCCTTAATTTACAGATGGAAAAATAGATCTGAGGAGTGAAACCAGGCGTTGGGGGTTACTCGCCTCTAGAATGAAGTGGGCAGAACCTAGAAGTGGGTATAGGTCCCGTGAACCAGCATTCCTGTGCTTTCCAGTCATCCTCAAGTGGGCCACCAGCTACAGAGGCAGAAGCAGCAAGCCTTCCTAGAGTTTGGATCTTAAACTTTCCTTAAAGGCCCATATCTTCAAGGCCTGGTCCCCTGCAGGCGGCACTACTTTAGGAGGTGTGGTCTATGGAAAGGAAGTTCGGTTGTTGGGGAAGAGCCCGCGAAGGGGTGATGGGGCCCGGGCACATTTATCTCTCCAGTTCCTGGCTGCCGTGTGCTTAACAGCTTTGCTCCCCACACATTCTCCCTCTCCTACCATGACGTGCTGTGTTGCCATAGGCCTGAAGGCAGCAGGGCAATTGGCCATGGACTGAAACCTCTGAAACTATGAGCCAAAGTAAACATTTTCTTTCTTTTGTATTGAGACAGGGTCTTGCTAAGTCTTTAAGTTGCCCAGGCTTGTCTTGAACTTATAATCTTACCTTAGCCCTTTCCTAGAGTATTGGGATTACAGGGATGCACCACCATGCCCAGCTGTTTCTTTTAAATTGATTTCCTCTGATATTTGTCACAGAGATGGAAAACTAACACAAAGCTACTGCTTAGTACATTTTAGAATCCAATATGCTGAGCCTTCCTTTATGACACAGGCAATGCTTATGGGTGATGGGTAAACCTTCACATCTATTCCTTACTTGTGTCAATGAAGACGGCATCCACATAGATTTTGGTACAGAAAGAGCCCAGAATAAATCCACAGGCTGGTCCAAATACCAACATCGTGAACAGGATTCCTGAAAGAAGATGAAAAGTCAGATTAGAAAACAGAAGACATTCAATGAGCAACATCAGCAAAGATCAAAGAGATTATTTTACATTGATCAGTTGAGATGTCTGATTATTATAAATTATATTACAGGAAAAAAATCTAGACATTCATACAGTACAAAACAAGTATATCCCATTTTAGGAAAATCCACTGAAGTACTACATATTATGTCAGAATTCTGTAGGATTATGAGACAGATATTTGTAGGCCATGATGTCCTTATCTTTAAAGGACTTCACTCCACACTGAATGTACAGTATTAAAATACTTCCACATCTACCATTAAATAGTTTTTCCACCATCAACAATTTTGAAAGGATTTTTATAATTTTTATTTTACATCTATTTGGCTTTATGTAATTCATTGACTTTATGGTTGGCTAAGATTCCCCAGCATTCCTTGTGCAAAGTCAAGATTCTTGAGTGAGAAAAATCTAAGCCATAAATCATGATCAGATGCAATGAAATGTTTACAAGCACTAAATTTAGCAAATATCAGAATCCATACAACAGTATGCTTTGAGAACAGTTAATTAGATATTTTATTAATTTTAAATTTTACAGTTTCTCTCCCATATTTTGGAGTCAGTATCTGTTGTTATCAGCACAGTTACAGCTATTCAGAACTCAAGCTTGTCCTTGGCACTTGAGGGGAAAGCAGGCCCTGGGCCTAGGTTTAATTGCCTGATGGAAACAGTATCTGGAATTCTGTCTAAAAATTTGGGATCATTTTGGGGAAAGTACTGCGTCTAAACTAAAACCCATGGGCTGTATCCATTTAACCAAATTTCAATTTGTCAGACATTTCCTGAGCACTGATAATTCCCTAGGTCTTGGAGATAAAAATAAACAGTAAGGGAGTGGCCCCTTTCTTAAGAAGGTAGCCATCTAATGGGACAATGGATACACGGGCAATTCTAACCCAAATAGACAGCCTTGGGGGGCGGAAGCCAACAGATCCTGTGGGTGGGAGAGCAGTTTTACCGCAGGGAACACGAGCACTCTGGGGGTTACTTCTCCAGCCTGGTCTCCTCACAAGGGTAATCTGGCCCAGCCTGAATTCTCGTCAGTGATGCTCTTGTGGAACCAATGAAATACTCATCCATTAATCAATACTTAAGCTCCTTCTGTGAGCCATGCATTCATCTCAGCACTGAAGATTTAACATTGAGCCAGTAGAAAAAGAATCTTGGCTTTCACAGAGCTCATCGACTTGGTGGGGGTGGATCCCCAAACTTCAGAAACTATAGACAAGAAGTCGAATGGTTCTACATATTCAGCCAAGGAAGCCAGGTCTTTGCAACTCACACACAGGAACCCAGAACTTCCAAGTGATCACATGAGGGTGACTTATAAGAAATGTTTGAGGAAGAGAATGAAAATGAGAACGCTCTATAAGGAGGAGATTTAATGCACTGAATCAGCAAAAGCCTACTTGAAGAAATCTGGAAGTTCAACTGCTTCAGAATAGTCATTCTGCGGCCAACCAGAGACCCTGAACCCAGTTATTCCTGTTTAGAAGGGGAATTTTAACATATGAAACTGTGTAACAGTGGAGAGGAACAATGTCCACATTACCAACACAGTAGCTGGTTTGTCACAATCTAGATTAAGATCGTTAGAGAATGGGATATGTGTGGGCATCTGTGTGTGTGTGTGTGTGTGTGTGTGTGTGTGTGTGTGTATACATGTGTGATTATTAGAAAAGTCAGGAATGTAGTCATCTTTCTTCCAGCTATGAGCTACAATCAGGGGGCTCCCCCCTAGTGGGATAGGGTTAGTGAGCAGAACCCATCTTAGCCCCTCTCCTTCTGCAGAGGAAAGAGAAGCAGGAAGGATTCTGAAAAGCAGCTGGGGTATGGAAGGCAAGAACAGCACCTGTGGCAGACTGAGGAGTTCTTGCTGTGGGGTGAAATCGTGCAGCTAACCACATTCTTCAGACCAGGCTGTGGACAGAGGTGGACCACTGGCTAGGGTCACAGGATGGTGATGGCAGCCCAACAAGCAAACTGCTTGGGCCTTCTCAGAAGGAAGGGGCAGGGCATAGGAACACTTCACCAAGGATCCTGGAAGCACCCTTCTGATTCACCAGCGACATCCTTAGCACCCTTCTGATGCCCAGTAGCACCCCCCATGGTAATACACCTCTTTCATGTAAATTAACTATGTCTCCCCAGTAATATCATGGCTACTGATCCACATCCTTCAGACTCAGTGATAAAAGTGATCATTGATACTTAACAGGTCAAAGGACCAAGGTTTTAGTATTAGAAGAAAAAGATATTGTGAGCCAAAAAGGCCTTGTAGAGATTGTGGTGCTAGCCTCATTTGGGGATAGAAGAGAGCAAGGGCTGCCCAATGTCATGGTATAACTGGGGCCACCCAGGAGCTAGGCTGGCCTCGTGCAGGTGTGGCACAGAAGGAAGGGCATCCCTTCAGCTGCTGCCTCTGCTGCCCCCAGGATCCCTACAGGACCCAGCCCGGCCAGTGATCCAGGCTGGCAGCTCAGTGGGCAGTGGCCTGCAGTGAAGACACCAGTCAGGGGACAAGCCAGGAGCAGTGCCCACTCCGGGTCCTCTGGGAGAAGGGATGGCTTTTCATCTGAACAGGTCCAAGCTCTCCAAGGCAGAAAACCTGACAGAACCCAATCCTACAGAACCCAATTCCACAAACAAACACATGAGGTAGACTGTATGTATTTTTGTGTAAAGGGTATTTTCCCCCTCTGTTGAAATCTCTGGGTCCATTTTCTAAGTGGATCTGCCCCAGACAAACGTCAAGGCAAACCAGCAACATGTTCTGGAAAATTCGGCAAAGGACAGTCCAGAAGTGTGGCTTAGGAGGGGCCCTCATCTGGGAGGCACTGGTTTTGCTCCTGCAATAGCACAGGAGGACCCTCAGCTGGGGCAGGCGCTGCTTGAGGGCCTGTGAGGCAGACCCAGCACCCACAAAAAGTTACTTCTGAATCTGCTTCCTCAGCTCTCCCTTGAGTTCACCTTGGCAGGCTGTGATTTTGCTTAGTTGTTTAGCAAAACCACCTTAAATGTTCTGCTTAAAGGCACAAGGAATAGATCAGGCTGCAAGATCCCTGTGTGAACAGCTAGTGCTTAGAGGGAAAGGTTCTTCTGCACCCCACTGCTGCCCCCTGCCGGATTCCTGTGCACCTTGCAGAGGGAGCGCGGGGAAGAGGACAGCCTGGGACAGCCAGCCAGAGAAACTGGCAGGCAGGTGCAGGTTCCCTCTCCAGCGCTGTATAATCCAAAGTACTTTACAGGCATGTCTTCTGTGTTCCTTCCAGTGGCTGCGGGGTGTGGGGGGGAGTTCATATGCCTGCCTCTCAGCGGAAGGGACAAAATCTCAGTTTCCCTGACCCCCCTGCTGAAGTGCAGAGCCACAAGGCAGTATTGGGAGGGGCTGGAAGACAGGTTTCCCCACCAATGAAGAAGGCCCAGTCATGGAAGGGCACAGATGGCCTGGGTTCAAATCCCACCTTCACTGCTTCCCTTGGGCAAACCTTGGACAAATATTGAACTTCCTTGTGCCTCTGTTCTCTCATCTGTAAAATGGGATAATATTGGCCAGGCATGGCAGCACACACCTCATCTCAGTATTCTGGGAGGATGAAGCAGGAGGACCATGAGTTTGAGCCCAAACTGGGCAATTCAGTGATTTAGCTAAGTCAAAATAAAAAATTAAAGAAAAAGGCTTAGGGATGTAGCTCAGCATGAAAGCCCTGGGTTCATTCACCAGTAGTGTGTGTGGGTTACAATTAGACCAGCTCCACAGGGTTGTGGTGAAGATTTAAGGGCCTAATTCTTAGAAAGCCATCAGAACATGCCTGGCACACAGGCACGTTAGACAGACGGCACTGGTGACTGCCCTACGGTGAAGGCCCTGTGCACCTGGCTTCCTGGTTGTCCCTCCAAAGCTCACTCTGCCCTCCACACCTCACTTCCTGAAGCCACAGGCAGGGAGAAGGGCAGGGGCTGGGCCCAGGCCAGGCCCAGGCCAGGGTTCCTCCCGGACAGCAGCTGCAATCAGAGCCTTACCAGGGCCCAGTGGGACTGGCGGGCCACAGTCCACCTCTGCCCTGACACCACTTGTCAAGTATAGTGGGAAGCTAAGCCAACTTCTGGGGATGAGATGACTGGACAAGGGGAGCAGCAACGAAGGAATGGACGACCCTTCTGGCCTTCAGGTCTGCCCATGGGCCTTCTGAAAACTAGCATAAACCTCCAGTTCCCAAAGTGGGCGCCATGGTGCCCTGGGGTACCATGGTGAGCTCATGGAGTACTGCAGAATCGTTTTTTTCTTTGCGGAAAACAGAGATACCTGGCATCTCCTGGATACCACTCGTGCAACTACTTCTCCAAGTCAGTGGCTGGTTTCAACTCACACTACGCTCCTTCCTTTGATGTACACTTTGTGTGAGCTCAATTTTCCATAGTCACCGAGGGAAAAACACTTGTGAAATCAGTTTGGAACAAGAAACAAGGACAGCAGCATCTAATCTGACTTCAAGATTGTGGTTCCTGAGCCGGGGATTTAGCTCAGAGGCACCATGCCTGCCTCGCAAGCACAAGGTCCTGAGTTCAATTCCCGATACTGCAAAAAAAAAAAAAAAAGATTGTGGTTCCCAACAGGGTCACACTTCCCTTGGTAAGAGATAAAGGTTAAAGATAAAATATTTTTTCATTCAATGCATGAGCATTAGTTTTTCAAAAACCTACTATTCCACTGTTAGAACATAAAACACTTAATAAGTAGTTGTAGCCTAATAGTGTGATAAACAAAACTGTCAGCTCCTCCTGGAGTTGGGGCTCCATGAAAAATATAATTGAGTCACTGAAAAAGTGAACCCAGAAAGTTTGGAAACTTCTTGTGTAAATCTGTCTGAGAAGCTGATTATCCTGACCTGTCCTCAGAAGTTGAAGAGCCTGTGGCTGTTCCTGGGCTAGCCCAAGT